GCGGGGCTTGCCGCGCGCCGCCTTCGCCGCGCCGCGCCCGCATGGCCGCCGCGCCGCCGCAGAAGCTCGAGGACGCGTGGCCGCGCTTCGCCGCGGACATGAAGGCGAGCGGCGAGGTCCCCGCGCACGACGCATGGCACGCCCTGCTGGACACCGTCGCCGCCGCGCGCGAGGAGCCCGCAAAGGCCGTCTGGCTCGTCAACCTCATGCGCGACGCCGGCCGCAAGCCCACCGCACGCACGTACGAGAAGGTCCTTCGCATCTGCGCAGACGCCGGCGACCGCCCCGCCGCTTTCCATATGGTCGAGCATATGTACAACGATAAGATCTTGCTCGGCGATGTCGAACTGCCGGACGGTATGGAGGTCGTCCTCAGGAAGATTCTCCCGCCCGAGGCTTTTGAGTGACGAGGGAATGGAAGGGGAGACCCCGCTTTTTTATATATATATACTGTATACACATATATATATATATTCATGCCACCAGTTCGTGTTGGAGCGCCTGCGCTTCGAAAAAGGAAAGGCGTCGCCCCGCTTGCATTTGGAGTAACTCGCATAGCTCTTGTTCGGACACTAGTGGCAGGTTTCAAGATAAAGGACGTTCAAGGCGGTTGCCATTACATGACAAGCACGTATCGCTCGCCTACGCCTTTGGCCGAGAAGAACCGCATGCAAAGCGGGGAAAGGTAAAACGAGAGGGGGCGCGAGGCTTGCATGTTGACCGAGCATGCGCACTCTCTGCGGCGGTGGCATCGGGCACTGCTTGTCAGTCGTATCCTCGCATGTGCGAAAGCGTGCACAACCCAGCGGATATGCTTCCCCACCAGAACCACGTGCGTATCGCACACGTGAATCCCTCGTCTGTGTTGTTTGGGGCAAAGTTTTCAGATTAAGGGTGGGTGCCCTTTCTCCAATCATCCACATCTATCCATCCAGACCTCAGGTAGGGTAATAGTGTGCTAAAATACTACAATTTTTTCAACAGCCTCCTCTACACTGACAAGATCAGCTTTGCGATAACGAACAAGCACAACACCACTTGTCCATTCTTGCCCGTACGGACGCCCAAAAGTACAAAGTTACAAATTGCAAAAGCGACCTCCTCTGGTGAGCGAAACAAACGGAGGAAGCCAATGCTCACATTACCGCCGCCGAGCGATACGGATGGCCTAAAGCTAATGTACTGTGAGAAAATGGGACCAAAAAGCAAAAACATCCGAACACGTGTGTCCCAGTCATCACTTTTGTAACTTATTATAAACAATCCTCCATTCCATAAACCCCATTGCTTCTTGCGTGCCTGTTCCAACTCAAAAAAAAAAAAAAAAAAAAAAAAAACACAGACACACAACAGCTCCTTTTTTCGGCCCTCAGATCGGCGGGACACTTCACGTGTATCCATTTTCTTTCCAACTCCCAACCCTCCCCGCCATGTCGATTGCCACGAGAATACGTCTTGTCCGCCACTAACAGAAATAACATTCCTCCACACCCATCACCATCACCATGGGATCAACTCCCCCCTCCTCTACCACACGCTTGTTTTAGACTCATTTATGCGTGGTGTCCCTTTAAACCCCATGTAAATCAATATACTTCCGTCTCTGATCCCTCAACTGTTCCACTTTTCTCCCGCGATCTCTTTACACTGTCCATGTATGGTCCCGATCTTCGTATTCATGTCATTCACTTGCGACCACCAACTCCGTTAAAAACACCCCACATCATCACCACTTTTGCAACAAAGACGAGGGAACCATCTTTTTCGAGAAAGGAGCTAGCTCTTCTGGGTTTTCCATCGGACATCCTAAAACCGCATCCGTGCCTCTCTCTCACCCACGACCAATTCCACACTAGTATTGAACGTTCGGATGCCTCTGCACATAAAATACGAGATACGCCTCCTCGCTGCGAATCACCCTCTCCACATCGCTCATTGGGCTAACCTTGTCATCATCACATCTATACCACGACCCCTGCTTTCGAATCATCGACGTATAGTGCCCACTATCAATCTTCCCCATGTGATTCACAATTGCAAACAAGTCATAGATTGCCTCCTCTGTATCACGGAGCTCCAGCCCTCCCTCCTTTTCCGCCTCTGCCTCACTCGCTTTGCCGCCTTCCTTGGCGGACGTCGCTTTAAGCAACGCCGTTTCCACTGTGCTTCGCGGCGAGCTTGTCTTGACAACGTCCCTCCTCCTCAGCACTTCCGACGTCTGAAACGACGACAGATCTAGTCCATCGGCTGGAAACTCGATCGGCGTATCAATCTTGACCATTTCATTCCGCCGAATGCTCGCAAACGATTGCTCGAACCTTTTAAAGTGGAAGCACACAATCGGCGGAAGCGTCCGAATACTCAGCTGTTTCATTGCTTCCTGCCTCGTCCCGCACGTCGAGCAATGCATCTTGGACGACGGTCCCAGCAGCTCCGGCTCCGTAAACCTAGACAAGCAATCCTGCAGCGTATTGGCAGTATCCAAATCCTTTGTCCGCTCCGATTCGGAGCTATCTTGCGTACCCTCCTCCGCCCGTTTCCCAGGGTCCGCGATGCTGTTCAAAGTCGCCTCTACCGCGTCCTTCTCCGGCTCCTGCACGCCACCCACAGTGACACTGGGCCCAACCTTGGCCACCATCCCTTCTTCCCTCCCCAGGTCCACTGCCGGCGACGGCGCGCGGCTCCTCCGCGTCGACGCCGGCTTCACCAGCTTGTCGACGTCCAGCGAAATATCATAAAACTTTTCTAGCGTCGGTGAGCTACTCGCGCACACCCTACACACGACATCCGACTGCAAAGTGCCGCTAAACAAGTTTTGCACAATGCTCGTGGAGCGTGCACTTACCAAGTCCGAAACCGCCCATAAATCAGCCGACCCGCCCCTCAAATTGGCAACAGGGCTGACCGGGCTGAGCTTGCGCCCATCCTTCTTGGGGCCATTCAGCAGCTTGCTCTCCATCTTGGCCTTCTTCTTCGGGCTCTGCTGCACCCTACAGTGGCTGTTGAGCAAGTTAATAGCGGCGATCAAAAACTCGTGTGCGTCGTGCTGCGTGTAGCTGGCCAGATGTTCTGCGTTGCGCCACACAATGTCCAGGACGTTTTGCGGGACGAGAAACGGGACGACGGGGGCGTCAGGCACGGCCAGGCACGCGTCGCACACCAGGCGATCCATGGCGCAGGCAAAGCAGTCGGCCTTCGCCGGGCGGGCGCAGCGCGGGCGGTGCTCGTTCGCCAGGAAGAAGTTGCGCAACGGCGGGGCGTTCAAAAAGGCTTGCAGCACCGAGTTCATATAGCACGAATTGCCCAAGTTGAACAGCCCCACAGGCGGGCGGACGCCATTTCCCCCGGGCAGCACAGCGGCGGCGCCCTTGAAGACAGCGAGCTCCTTCTCCGACGGCACATAGGCGGCGCGGGTGCGCATGCGCCTCTTCCTCCCGCGCACGGGGGCGGCGGGCGGCGGCGGCTGGAGCGGCGGGTCGAGCGGCGAGAGCGAGGAGGTGAAGTTGCGGCGGCGCGTGGCGGCCAGCGAGCGCTGCAGCTCGATGGCGCTGTCGAGGAAGCGGTTGTGCACAAAGTCGTCGCACGCGGCGCAGAAGAGCGCGGCGTGCTCGGCGGAGAGGTGGAGCGCGTGGCGGCGGGCGGAGAAGTGCGACGCGAGGTGGCCCGCCGACGCGCGGCACGCGACGTGCACGCAGTGCACGCACGCGTACAGGTCGCGCGAGAGCGGGTACACGCACGACGGGTGCAGGCACTGCGGCACGGCCGCCGAGCCGACGCCCAGGACCGGACGGTGCGCCGGCGATAGGATCGCCTCCGCCGCGCGCGACACCTGCTGCAGACCCGCTGGCGTGCACAGAGGCTTGACGTGCTCACAGGCGGGCGGCGCTTCCATGGCGGCGCGGTACCGGGGGGGGGGAGGCGGACGGATGGGACGGGGGATGGACGGACGCGGGCGGGGTGACGAAGGAGCGTTCCGCTGGCGACGGGGATGCGGGGAACGAAACGAGTATTTCGTTCGCCACGCGGACACGTGTGCGGGTGAATTCGCGCAGCTTCTGCGCCGCCCGCTTTCCATTGCCATTCTATTTCCGGATTCCACCGTTGATCTCTGTAAACAAGCCCTCTCTACTTAACGCTCCCGCCCTTCCCTCTAGTAGCTCCCTCCTTCCGCTCCCCCCCTACCCCCGGGGATATGTACGAGATACAAGACCGA